AGCTCAGAATGAGAATCTTCATGTAATGCTCTCTGTAACCAATAGTAGTGGCAATGTTGGAGAGGACAGGACAAGACATGTCTGCAATCTCTGTTTGCATTGGTTCTCAGAGCTCCTGAGGTCTCATACAATGCGAGGCTTTCTCCATGGTCTTGAAAATAAAAAATAGCCCAAGGTGGGAGAGTGAAATACTAAGTTAGGACTGGCCCTCCAACTGTCCAAAGCTCGTGCTGTTAGCCCCATGGGACCACTGCTAATGTCTTGTGTCTGCTGCTTACAGCTTTAGAAAAGAACATGACCTTGTGGTGAAGAGAGTGGTTGCCTCTTTGAAGAGGAGATAATGGACTGCATCTTACATATGAATGGTTATTCTCACAGCAAGAATGTGAAGTAAATACATTTTTCCTCTTCAGCTGAATATTCCACTCATTTCTTTTCTGCTCTAGAGCTTCCAGCTTTCTAACCTGATGAGTTATGGACGGTCATTCTTTCCAGCATCAGCTGAATTCTTTTCTAATTATACATGTTCTGAACAGCACGAGGCAGACCTGCTGGTAGAACATTTGGTGCAGAGAGCATAATAAATTCCATAGAGAGCTTGACATGCCTTGCGATAGATGCAGTATTCATTTTCATCACCATAGAAGAGATGAGACACTGAGCCAGAGTTTAAAAAAACTGCTGTGCTACTTTACCAGGATGTGTGGGTGGGATTAACATCGGCTGTTCAGTTGAAAGGCTGCCTTGTAAAACATCTTCACTAGAATTAATATCTAGACATTTGTAGATCATATTTTACAAACACAAAAGGGCAGGAGATGCATCTAAAAACAGATCCATAAGATACAAAAGATCTGCCACAATTTTAGCATAAAATTGATACTAGCACATTGAAAATAGCACATAGAAAGCGTAAACTATGTCAGGAAATTTTAATACCATTTTTTTTACTCTAATATATCTCTGGAAATTAGATGCTAAATGCTTACAATAAAAAGCAACTCTGAAAACAGTGTGAGTTTATTGTCAAGCAATGATTTACAGAACAAATATGTTCAGATTTCAAGTAAAAGTACTTTTTTGTTTTTGTTCAGCCACCAGGCCTGCAAATCCATCTTGGGACCTCCAAGCAGATTATTTTCTTGTTTCTCATGGATAGCAATAAACTTGCTAAAGACCATCTGTGGAAAAGATGTCCAACATGTCTCTGGATGTTGCAAGCTGCATATTCAAATTTTGGAAAAAAAAGTGGAGTACAGAAAAGTGGGAATTTCCCATCTTTTTGTGGATTATCTATAGCCCAACTGATACCAATGTAAGATAATATTTATGAGACAAATAGCAAGCTTGGAGCAGAAGAAGGCATATGGTTGTGTCATCTGGTTCTGTTCTCAATGCATTAGAATCACGCCATAGAATCATATCATAGAATTATAGAATGACTTAGGCTGGAAGGGACCTTAAAGATCTTCTAGTTCAAACTCCCCTGTTGTGGGCAGGGCTGCCACACACCAGCTCAGGCTGCCCAGGGCTCCATCCAACCTGGCCTTGAATATCAAGGATGGGGCATCCACGCTTTCTCTGGGCAGCTGTGCCAGGGCCTTCTCTTCAGGGCTGTTCTCAATGAGTTCTTCTCGCAGTCTGTACTCATATCTGGGATTACCTCAACTAAAGTGCAAGACCTTGTATTTAGCCTTGGGTGAAAAAGGTTTTGTGAGCTGCTTGGGCAAACAGGTCTTTGCTGCAGCTGTTCAGCTGGCAGGCCATGTGTGAGGCAAGTGCAGAAACAAGGACTGATTCAGTGCTCAACAGCCCAGCTTGGGTTCTAACACATCCCAAAGAGATGAGAAGACAAATCTTAGTATCAGTGGTGTGAGCCACAGTAACCATAAGCTACTGACCTCTAGCAGCAGACTTGCCAGGGCAGCAGACCAAACCTGATGTGCCAGTTGCCCAAAGCTGCTGGTCTGAGGGACAGATGAGAGCCACATTGCTTGTATCGACTGAGTCCAGAAGATATGTCCTAATAATTGTATAGATAGATAAGAACCCATGAGCACAGAAGTAATTTACTTTTGTGGCACATATTGCTGTGTAATTCTCATGGCTTCATGCACTGTTTGGTGCACATCTACGTTTTTATCATGCCGCTGCAGTCAGGGATGCTTAAAGCTGGCAGTCTCTTCCCAGGGCCACTATGAGCATGGTGGGAGCAGCCACATTTCATCCTCCCACAGAGATGTTACTTTTGTTCTCACTTGCTTTGTTGTTTCCCTTTATATATAATAAGAGTCATTCAGAGTCAGTGTAAATGTTTGTTCAGAAGAGGGGATGGAAAAATGTAAGAATAATTCTGGTAATGGAAGTAGAATGTAAACAAAGCTTAGAGAAAGTGGAGAAGCAGTGGAGAGATTTCCTGTTTAATAACGGAAAATAGAAAAACTAAAATCCCTACTTAGGGAAATGTAGAATAAACCCTCCACAGTTTAATGAAAAAGGAAGAATATGGATCTGATCACAGGTTGACAAGGTGTTTTAACCCGCACAGTGGCAAAAAAAAGGTCATCTTTCTTGTGTTGGGAAAAAGATTTCTGTAAGCTTAAAAGAGAAAGGATTTCCACACCCATGAAATACAGTCTAAGTCCTTGACAGCATGGCACAGACACAAAGGTGTGTCCAGATTGCACTACTCCTGATGGCACTGGAGTGAGGAGGGAATGCTGGTGCATTTACTTCAGTTCTTGTAATTTCTGCAAAAAAAGGAATCTCTCAGAGATGGTCATGAAGGAGATCAATGAGAGGATTTCTACTGTGGAGCCTCCCTTCATTCCTGGTTGCAAAGGCTTGTGGGATGCTTGTTTTGGAGAATGGGATGTATTTCAGAGCATCATGACCACCCTAGTACTGTTGTGCTGAGTGTTTCTAATGTGCTAAAAGAAGGAACATTTACTAGGATTATTTTTTTCTTAAGTGCATGTGTTTCACTTGTTATTTCAGATTTATTGGTGTTTACTTATTGCTGAATAATGAGCCTGAGGGTAATGGAAATCTTAATAGGCTAAAGAATTGGAGCCAGCGTCATCAAATGCTTCCTGTTCTTTACTGGTGCAGTGTTGCCACTTTATTTGCTTACTCTGCAAGACAAATGTGTTTGTTGCAACATTTTGGCTGAAATCCTGAATCACACTTACACAGCACTGGGACTTCATCCTGGCTGCCTGAGGGAAAACGCAAGTAGGGTGGCTGTCATCTGGCTCCACGGTGCACGTACATGTCACCATGAGGCCACAGGATGTGCTATTGCTATCAGTGACACGCAGGAAAGATGAGCCTACATTGTTCTGACTGAGGCTGGCTGTTTTGTTGATGCCAGCTGGACTTGGAGCAACACGGTATTGCAGGGAATCCCTGTGACCCAGCAGAGGCATGTGGCAAACCAGGTCATGGGACGTTCACCCTCCCAGATGATGCTACCCTGGCTGAAGTGTCACATGAAGTTAGTCTGCATATGGTTGTGTGGCGAAGTCATATCGTACCTCAGCAGTTTTGAAGGCTAGAGTGTAACCATACCATTTGCTACAGGCAGCTGATTGGAGTGTCTCAGAACCATGGGTTGCCATATTTTCAGTGCCACCACTGGTGCCTGAGAGTCCTTGGCTATTTAGTTATTAGCATTTTGCGGAGGACCATCACTGCCTGAAGAACTATGGAGCACACCAACTCCACAGCTAACTATCTTGTTGTCATCTGAGACAGAAAGGGGATGATGCCTGGGGCTTCTTTCATAGAATCATAGGATCATTAAGGTTGGAAAAGACCTTTAAGATCATCTAGTCCAATCACTCCAACCATCAATCCATCCCCACTATACCCACTAACCATGTCCCTCATTGCCACATCTCCATGGCTCTTGAACACCTCCAGGGATGGTGATTCCATCCCCTCTCTGGGCAGTCTGTGCCAATCCCTCACCACTCTTTCTGAGAAGAAATTTCTCTCAATATCCAGCCTGAGCCTCTCTTGGCGCAACATAAAGCCATTACTTCTTGTCCTATTGCTAGTAACCTTGGAGAAGAGACCAACTTCAACTCACCATAACCTCCCTTCAGACAGCTGTAGAGAGAAATAAGGTCTCTCCCAAGCCTCGTCTCCTAAGAGATTTCACCCCAAACCCACACTTGTGGGTGCAGTGCACCCCATGAGCTGAGGCAGCAGATCAGCCTTCAAGATGGACCAGCAAAACCGACTCCTTCAGTGGATCTAAGCATTTCCATTTGGCAGAAGTGCCAGAGTCTAGAAAGCACGTGTGCACAGCTCTAAGATGAAAAGGAATTTAACCTGATATAATTTTTAACACATCATCCAAACTGCATTTTCAAGCCTCTGTATTTTCGAGCCTCTGCTAACAAGAAGGTCTTCTGATGATCAGACAGAGTGCTTTGTAAAGGAATTTGCAGACCAGAGGTGCTTACCATTAATTTCCTGCTGTCTACGATTACTATCATCGCATTTTTGAGGCACTTTTAAAATAAACTATGCCATGATGTAATGCACACAAAGGGGCTGGGGTGGGAGTGCAGAGAAAGGAAAAGAAGCAGCATCTGGATTTTGACTGGTATCTTCTATAGAGCATCTTGATGTCTGTAATTAGTGTCATGTTATGAGAGCTTAAAAAAATAAAGGCGCCAGAGTTCCAAATAAAACATAAAATGGCTTTGATAGAATAAATGTTACTATCATTGTTTAAAAATGTTGTGACCTGTCTGCTATAGTTTCTGAGAAAGATATTTTCCAGTGCTGCTGCTCTCGCTCTGACTCTTTTTTAAATTCTATTATTACAGATAAGGACAGAGAAAAATCCTCAAGACAGACTCGTTTTAAATCTCTGTAACACAATGCCAGCATTGTCTCTCCTCAAGCTGAACTTCTAAATTAAAATAGGCATGATCTTTAACAGAGCTCTGAAACACTCTGTTCTACAGACACTTTATCCCCTTTATTAGAGAACATTAATAATTCAAATGTTATGGCTTAGGTTAGGCAGACCCATTTGTCTGGTGTTGGAATAATTTAGCTGTACTCCACTGTTCAAGGCTGTTTTGATACAGAGTGGGCCAAATTCTGCAGGCTCTTTGAAAGCCGTGGCAGCTTTACCTGTATCTTGGCTATGCAGCAGGAAGGCACAGAAACAAATAAGAGGTCCTGGCAATCTTTTCCTTGACCTTTAGCATGCACGGAAAATGTACAAACATGCACTCCCAGCCGAATTTTGCAGACTGCATAAGGCAACATTTCCATTTCAGCCAGTTGGATTTTTGCCTGAGCAAGGCCTCTAGTCTTGAGATCCAAAAATTCTACATAAACACACTTGCAAAAACACATATGCAACCCACCTTCGCAGTAAGATTTCCCCCAAGCTTATATTTTACCATATGTGAAGCAGGATTTCTTCACTGCCGTGTGCACATGTGCCTCTGAATGCATCAAATTTGCAAAACATAGGGATTTTCTGTGACTTTTTTTCAAGACTTTCAGAGCCAAGCCACTTTATACCTACAGGTTAGATGGAGAAGTCATTAGCAACAGTGATTTCCAGGCCTATACAACTATGAAGTCTTTGTTTTCTCGTCAAACGTATGAGCATGTAGTGGCATCTAGATTAGTTTGCACACTTATTTTTACCAGGTGATATATTTCTTTGACATGAAACCAGATCTCATCCAAATACAGCTGGACATAAGTACTTAAGATATGTATCTGCCCCTTACGGTCTGACTCTAACACTAATGAAACACAAGCAATGCCCTGAAAAGGCTAAGTTTACTCCTTTCAAAAGAAGCAACATGTATGATGAAGTAGGAAGAAATGGATTCTGATCCCATTCTATACTTCACCTGAGGTAAAGGGTCAAAAAAGCTCCACTAACCTTGGTTATCCTCTACGTGAGATGGTGTGAACAACACTTCAGACAGCAGGGATGTTAGCTTTGCCTCAAGTTGTCATTTCAAGAGATGTAGGACCCTTATAAATAAGGGGAAAACAGCCCTTAGCTACCTGGACATAAATTAAAAACATATTATATTGTATAATTTTATGTTATGATTTATATGTACAGATTACATAGATTTATGAAAAATATTACATACAACTAGCTTCCAACAATGTTCGTCTCAGAGCAGATTGTTTTTATAGTAACAGTAAGAAGAGCATTCACACAGACATCCTCATGTCTGTTGGGCATTTTCTCATATCTGTTGGGCTTCTACATTACTAAATCCTGTAAGCAATGAACAGTTAAATTTGAAAGTGAGGGAGAGTGCAATAGTAGCCACATGTATTACTACACTCACTAAAGACAGTCTGCAAAATGTAATGACATTACTTAGAATAAATTACTCTGTAATTGTATGGAAGAAAACACAATTTGTTTTTAGTGCTTTCTGTTGAAGAAGAAACTAATATCCATCTCCCTGATCTCCCACAGACGTAGAAGTGACACAGAGGAGTTTAGTTGTACTTTAAGCTAGATTTTTCAGGAGATTTGTAAACTTAACATTGTTCTTTAATTACCTATCAAAGTCTTACTTCAGTATCTAAATAGAGATGTTCTTGAATATCCCACTTGATGTCCCTCTGCATCTTCTGGCAGTTAAACACAATCACAAATTGACTCCATGTTTCCCTGAGTTCCTGAAATAAAAGTAGGGCTTCTCTCTCTCTCACAGGTATTTTGACAAGGAAAACATGACAAAGATGGCTAATTATTTTTATCATGGTAACAGAAGATTTAGAGAAAAGATCCTTAAAACCCTCACAACAAGTGCACCAGCCCAAATAAAACACCCAGAGAAATGGAAGAAAATGGTTCCAAGTTATTCTCTTTCTGAATGGTTAGGGGTTAAGAACTAGGAAGAACTAGGTACAGTGATCTTAGGCAGGGGCTAATATCATTCTCAGAAGTTTAAATACTGTCTTAGACTTGGTGTGGGAGGGTAGGCTCTGTGTTACATTACTGAGATGGGGACAAGTCCAAGTGCTCATGAATCCACATTTTGGAGAGACTTGTGCTCAACAGGGTGCTGTTCATGGCACAGCAGCAGGTTATGTTTGAATGGACTCACTGAGAATTTTAAAGACAATGTGTTTCCATTTGTTTCTCTAAAGAATACCAACTCTTTGTTTTGTGCTAATATTTATCTGTGCCTCAGGTTCAACTGGGCTCTTCATCTAAGTTGCAATGAATGTAGTAATGGCAAGCACCCCTGGTGGAAGAGGCCAATGGTTTTAAGGGCAACTGCTGAGCTTTCTGGTGGATAAGGCATGCTCTGACTTTGTTCCTCACCATCCTATGGTAGAGCTGGGTAACTCCTGGAGAGGAACTTGTAGTAAAATCATAAAATTATATGATGAAGACTCTGGGTGAGGAAGAGTGACCTCCAGAGCATGGGAATTTTGAAAAGGGAAAAACCAAGGCACTGGTGCTGAGATACAAGAAACCTGGGGTCTGGCCCAGCCTGGCTTCAGCTTTCCTTAATCTCTTCACCTCATTTCTCCATCCTTCAGTTCTCAAAGAGGTTTTCTAATGAAAAAAACGTTAGTAAACGTGAGGTGCTGAAAGCACATGGTTATCATATGCAAGACTAAACATAGAAACAGTAGAAGGATCCTTATGCTTATGTGATATGTAAGTCTCACAAAAGAGTAAGCATATACAGTTCTACTAAATCATTATGACCTTCAGAATTTATTTAAATGAAACCTCACATAGTCTGTTCAGCTGTTCCTCATAAATCATAATTTTAGTTAAAAAATGAACTTCATATTTCTTCTGGGATTTTGTTCTCCCATAGCTACATTCCTGAAACTGCTGCAGCCCAGAGGTCTAAGGGAGTCTTCCCTGAGAAAAAAAATCCCGTCCTCCTATCTGGGGGACTGGAATCAGGCTCTGGAAAAGACTCAGAACTGGGGGAGGAGAGTGCTGGGAAGAAGGAGAAAAAATGGGAAAGACATGATGTTACAACTCTTACATAGAGCACCTTGTAGTTTCCCATGCTGTCTCACAAAATGTCTGTAGGCTAATGAAATTGTTTAATAGTAATGTACTTTAAAAAAAGAGAGCAAGAGAAAAAGAGAGAGAGAGAGAGAGAAAGAAAGGGAAAGAGAGAGAGAGAGAGAGAAAGAAAAGGCAGGAAGGAAGGCAGGAAGGCAGGAAGGCAGGAAGGCAGGAAGGAAGGAAGGAAGGAAGGAAGGAATTTGAAGCATACTGTTCTCCTATTTCTTCTATTTGGAAGAACTAGGTACATTGGCCAACTCCTCCCTTCCCAAATTTAATGTTTGTTTTGCCTGAAATGCTATGGTTACTCTGTGACAACTGTGCTTGCTTTTTTTTTTCTCTGTCCCAACACTGTATCCTGAATTTCTTCTGTGACCTAGCACAGACACACAAAGCTCTGTCTGCATCCCATCTTTCTATCTAGAGACTCACTAAACTGCCTGAGCATTTCTGGAAGACTCATTCCTCAGCCAAGAAATTCACTTCCAGAGTCTTAAGATTTCTCTGTGCACACATACCAGCACTACTACAACTACATGGCTGCCCCTTGGTGGTGTTGACTGTGATCTTTTGAAGGATGAGATGAGAGCACAAATCACTTTCCTGTTGGTCAAACTGAGGTCTTCTTTTTTGGTCTCTCAATCCAGGCTGAATCTAAAGAGATGTATTGCTCATTGTCCCTAGGAAGATCAATACCCTTCCTGTTGCAGGTTATAGGACTTCTAGTGTAAACCTTTCCAACAGAGTGGCAAGGGCTACAAAACTGCACCAGTAAAATGTAACTCTTTGCATTTTCAAGGCCATGTGGAGAAGCCTGGTGTGTGAAGCTGTTTTTATATGAAACCCAGGCCTAGTTTCACAATGATGACATCACCTGTCCCTCTGGATTTCAGCAGATCTGTTTAATCAGAACCTAATGCACATGCAGGAACTGAAGTACAAATCTCCTCTGGGAGATGAAAGCCAACCATTTGACTGGATAAGTCCACACTTATTCATTAGCAGCATAACAGGGAATTCTAGAACCCTAATATGGCCCTATTCTTCCAGGTGCTGTGTCTATGGCCAAGACCAGTCACTGGTCCAAGGAATTTATAACTAGGATGCTACAGCATTTCCCCTGCTTCTTCTCACATTGATAACATCAAATAATGTTCTGTTTGCCTTACAACACTGGTTTCCAAAATTAAATGTATGTCTTCCATTTCTGCTTGTTGAAAGATGGGACCTGCTGTGAGTGCACCAAGCAGTGAGAGCTGGTCAGGTGCTGTACCTGAGGAGAGAGAAAAACTGCCTTCTAGCCCTTAGGGAGAATCAAAGTACTTGCTCCTTTGAGAATCTGACAATGTTACCCTCCCTGAGGAGCAAAAGCAGAAGTAACATTCCTCAGCAAATGGTTGATAGCTCTGTTCCAAGTGAAGTATTGGAAATGTGACAAATGTCACAGTTATGCCTTCTTCTGCTCTTAATCTATCCTCACGAACACCCTTATTTGCTGCAGCCACTCCTTGTCCTTTCTCTCAGGAATGTCCCTGTTGCCATGTCTCAGAGCTGTTGATCTCCACATTCACCACAGGATTTATTTTATGCTCTCTCACTGCTGCTTCCCATATCCTTTAGCTCACAGGCTTGACTCCATAACATGAAGGACTCAGTCCACAAGCCCTTTTTTCTTTCTGGCTCTCAGTGAGGAGAAGACACCAGCCAGTCACTCTAGTGGTCTCCCAGTTCTCAGCCCTCTATTGCTCTTTCCACAGACCTCCCACAGAGCAAGTTTCCTCCTTCTCTGTTTATTCACCCCCAAATACCGCCATATAGACTTAATTAGGTCCAGCTGGGAAGCATGTGTTCGGTTGCAAGGACTTTGGACCCACATTAAAGGGGCAAGTTCTCCACGACAGAACGAGTTAGAGACTGGGTCCTTAACCTTTGCAAGAAGACAAATGCTGAAAAGAAGAGCTGCCCTTTTCGCTGACGGTCATGCATTGTCTGGAGAAGTATACCCCACTGATATCAGATAGGGTTGACAAAGGGTTTGGCACCACCTTCTCTCTGACACATGCACAGTACCTTCAAGCTCTCTGGCCCAGCAACGATTCTCCTGACTGGTGGACTAGCAATTGCAAAATGAGCAAGTCACATGGGGTGTTCACCAACCTTGGAAGCTTTTTCTGAGTTGCCATCAGATTCTTCCAGTGACTAAGGAGAAATCTACCACTGACTCTGAAGAGATTACGTGTTCTTCAGGCTTGGTATACAGTTGGGAAAGATTCACCAGGAGTGAACAAAGATGGCAGCTCAGCACAGGTGACAACTCTGGCATTGACCAGGAACATGAGGCCTTACAGCAGCATCGCTGATATCTGTCTAGCTAAAGACAAAACCTCTGAACTGCATATTTTATTTCTTCTGAGATATTCATGCTCGTGGTACAAACTGCTCCAAGTTTCAGACCCTGGTACACTTAGATGCAAAGCTGCAGTAAGACTTACAAAGCTCCCTCTCTCTGTTGCTCCAATTTCCGTATTTTTTCCTGTTTCCTCCTTTCTGTAGGGAACAGTATGGAGTAGCTAGAATAAAAGTCACCATAAGACCATTAAACAGATGGATGGGAATAGAGCCTTAAGGCTGAGTATTTCCTCTGTCCTTCAAACTTACTGGTTACTAGAGCCAAGCAGACACAGAAGAGTAAGTAAGGTTAGCTATATAGAAATTTCAGGCAGCTTCCTGAAAAAACAAAACTATTGAAACTAAGTTATGATTCCCTAGATTATCCATACTTTTTGGTGTTCAACAGTCATTGGTCTTCAGATTCGTTTTTTTTCCTGACACCAGGAAGCTGACACCAGAAAAGCATGAGAAATGTGAGTTGAAGACACTAAAAATAAAACGTAATCTAAGAAAGCTCTGTAAGTCATCCCATGTTGGTTGCGTAGAAAGTCATTGTTTTTAGAACTTTTTTTGCAACACCATCGATGTTCTAAAGCAGGGGATTTGGATA